GCTCTGACACATGTTGGCCTTCAACAAAACACTTCCAGACTGTTCTGTCTAGCGCCCACGCTCCAGATTTCATACATCATTTGCTATAAGTAGAACTCCCCAGAATATATATCTAGTACTGCCATAATAGACACTAAAATAGAGTATGAGGTGGAAAATAATGTCAGAGGTGTTTAGCGAGGTCTTCATGAGCAAGAATATGTGACAGTACAAAGGCGCAGGGAGCAAAGACTGATGTGGAATGTAACTAACCTGGAAGCTGAAGTCATATGGGCTTAATCGGTTCCAGCGATGCATAAATTACAAAGGAGGACCAGCGATGGTCAGCAGCACGGGCAGAAACTGTAAAGATAAAAAGAGAAGGAGAAAAGAAAGCAGCATGCGTGTGTGTCATTCGTGTTGGGTATCTTATCGGTGCTGATGGAAGGGTCAAGTCAGGACACAAATCACCCCCCAGGCTGCTGTCTCTTCTCAACTTACCCAGCAGTTAAGCTACATCTGTTTCTGCTTTACTCTCTGTGTCTCCCTGTCTTTCTTTCTCAGCCTCTCTTCGCACTCATGGAAGTGTGCTTTTTTTATAATAGTGATTTTTATGGGCCCCAAAGTACAGCTGCTTTGATACAGTTTGATGTGATGAAGTGCAAAGGAATACAACTAGTGATGTAATTGATGCCATGCACAGGTTTTTTCAGTCAAAGATGGAAAAAGTGGCAGCTGTATCATGTACCTTGGGAGGTAAGTTTTATTTGGCTAAAGGTTAGAATAGAATAGCATTTAAACAAACCACAGAATCGTTTTTGGTCACCAAGACAACACTAACAACAAAGTTTCTTGCCCTTACCAAGGAAACATTTGGAACAAACCAAAGACAGCCAGATGGGGTCAAAGAGAACAGAAAGAAGATCTGGGCTAGCTAGAAGGAATTTAAACTAACAATAAGGACAGATGGGAAATCAAAGAAAAATAAAGGAAAATGTTTAATTTTACAGGCTTTGTGGATTTAAAAACAATAATAACATGATAGATAAACTGTAATAAAGGTTAAAATGAGTCATTATTATGGGTGTGGCTGCTTTAACTGACAGTTAGATGCTGTCATAGGTGGCTGGGCTGCTATATCTATCTCTGAGATCACATGGGCCTACCAGTGGACACTTAGAACAACAAGTGTGCCTTGGTTGTAAATTTCGGTGAAAATAATGTGTAACTTTACAACTGCTCGATAAGTTCTCAACATGTAGGAGACAGGCTCAGCTGATACTGGTGGCCCATGGGTCTGTCATCCACACTGGCACTTCACTAGTTACATGCCCCTTTGCTCAATGTGCTCTGTGCCCAGAGTCTCTCTGAGACTCATTTGTATCACCTACTGAGCCCTAAGGACAAACCTCTAATATACAGTCACACGCACACTTGCGTGTTCAGGCTTGATAGCCGGAAAGGATAAGCATGATAAATGAAAGACGATACAGCCTTGTTGTTAGTAGTGTTTTGTGTTTCTTCTATATCCGGTTTGATCAGTGCATACCACACACTTAACACACCGTATCGCATTAATAGAATTGTAAAATAGTACAAAATTATAAATGTCAGTGTCTGAAAGCACAAACAAGGACATTGTTAATGTAAAGGTATCACAAGGTGGCTTCGATAAAAGGTTGCATGTCGGCTGTGGTATTTTTGTTGTGAGAGTCTTATGACTGCAAATCTCACAACCCTGCTATATAATAACAGCTCAGTTTTGACAGTACAGTTTCTTTTAAATACATTCATAAGCCCTTCAAGTCTTCAAGTTAAAACTGGGGCTCAATGAAATACTGAGTGGAAACTGCAGGGGAATTCAAAATCATGCACAGTAATAGGAATGAACTCAATGACATTTTACTACGTCCTCACACTACATCTGTGTCCTGACATTGCCCCAACTATTTAACCACATTTTGTCTTCTGGCACCCAGGGGAACATAAGGATCACATATGCCTTTGGCAGACGTCCACACCCACATTCTTCAGCTATGTGCTCACAGGCATTCTCTTTCTCTCATCTCCCTCCCACTTTGCTCTGACACCAAAAACTTGGCCCACATTGGTTTACACTGTAAAGAAATGCAAACACTTTTTTTCCTGGACACAGGGGGAGTGACATTTAGAGAGCCACTTCATCTGTTAAGTTTAGTTCCAGTTCTTCCTGACATGTGTCTTTTGTAAACCAACATTTTGCTAGCTGATTATGTAGGTGATGATGGTTTTTGCACAGAAATTTTCATTAGTGTTAAATTCAATGTTTTATTTACAATTTAGAGCCAAAGACCCAGAGAGGCTGTGCATTTTTCTTTCTGGGGTGACTGGGTTCAGTGGTAGGGGGTGCATGGTGTGGAATGTGGCTGTAAGAAAAAGCCAGGAGGAACCATTATAGGGAAGAAATGAGACGCCAGAACTGGGAGTGCAGCACAAGATGAGTAGAGATTTTTAATCTTAGTTATAAAAGTCTCTGCGTATGGCATCAATCTTCTCTTCTGAGGGTCTTTTATCTTCCTTTGGCAATGTGTAGGCAGTTTTTAAGTCTGATCGTTTGTCATTATTGCACATAGATGCAACTCTTATTTTCACATTTTCATCTGTAGTTTTTGCCATCTGAGTTTCCTCACCAGGGATCCATTCATCCATCCACCTGGCATATTACTAGAAAATCACCTAAATTATATTTTTTTTAAAACAGTCATGTGGGGTCAAATGTATAATTCTGAGCTTTATTGAGCATGAGGGTTTCGAGCTGTTTAACCTTATTTAACCAAGAAACATTGACAGTTTGTGTGAATGTTTAGCGTGCATGCTCATGACCAAAAGTCCAAGATTCTGACATAAAAATTCTGCTTCATGCATTATCATTTTCAGCCATGTGAAAAAAAGTTTTTGCAGGGCCCTACACAGTCCTGTAAAAAATGAAGTGTTTCCATAGCAATTGCAATGGCAGCTTGTATCATCTATAACTTCTCTATAAAAGCAGACGTTTGAATTCAAATGTGTTTTAACACAATGCCACAATCTTCCCAGGAGCGGACATCCTATCAAATTTACAATCAGACAATGTAATGCTCCAAGAATTTCCAAAATACTTAAGAGCTACATCTCAGCATCCGTAAGGCTGAGTCATCATGGTAATGTTCATGACACCACGTTTTGAAAATGCCTGAATAAGTATGGCTTGTTTGCAAGGGTTACAAGGAGAAAGCTTTGCAACGTTGCATCTGAACAAACCACAACACTTTTGGAACGATGGAACAACCAAAGCAGAGATGTGTGGCCATAATGCACAGCACCATGTTTTCAGAACAAACTAATTTTAGGCACAGTAGTGGATGGGGTAACGATTTGGTCCCCCTAGTGAACCTAGGCATGGTGCAGTCATCGAGTCGACCATGAAATAGTCTAAGTATTCTTGAGTCAAATGTGAGGCCATCCCTCCGACATCTAAAGCTTGGCCGAAATTGGGTCAGACCTCAACCCGACTTTAGCGCTGCACCGAGTTCTCAGGAGAGCTGGGCATAAACAAATGCCTGCAAACCTCAATGAACTGAAGTAATGTTGTGAAGAAGAGTGGTCCAAAATCCCCCCACAGTGATTTGAGAAACCGGTAAGGCGTCTAAAAGCATCTGGATATTGGGGTGTACGTTGTTTTTCGTGGGACTGTAAGGAGTTGCATGAAGACTCTCTTATATGAATATATATTGACGAATGACAAATATGACACATCCTTTACACATAAGTACATTTATTTAGGTTTTAATACATTAATATTGAACATGTTACATATTTGTATTGATTGCATATCACACAGCACAATTCCAATTTATTCCTGTATACCTGCTCAAGGTAAATGTAACAGATTTTCATTTAAAATATGTAATAGGAACTCTTCCTCTTGTTACGAGGAGCCCTTAGTTATTAAATATACAAGTGAAAGTGCAATATCTGAATTGGTCCAGGATCTGCATTTTGAGCAGGACTTCTCTAATGAATAAATATTGTGTGTTTCATTTTAAAAATGCGATAAATCTTTGACATTTTTTTTTTCATTAATTTGCTTTTTGATGCCATTTTCTAAAAACTGTAGCTGAATACAATAAAAACAACATTGTCAGTTTACAAAAGCTTAGCATATCAATCACTGCATTTTCTATTTTCTAAATAAACTTCATTTTTTTCCCCATAGACTATCTGAAACATAGAGTCTTGACAACACCATAACATCTCACAGCACTATGTTACAATAAAATATCTCTGTTAAAAGTTCAAAGAAAAGGAAAATAGAACAATAGCAACATAAAATTAAAGAATACAATGCATAGATTAAATCATTTAAAAATGTAAAGATATAATTTACTTAGTACAACTCTTTAACTTTTAGAGTGAACCTATGTGGATTCATTACAGTTTATCCTGACTTGAGTGACCGGCACAAATATATATATGTTTATATATATATATATATATAGTTCTGAACATATAACATGATAAAAATGCTAAATATATCACTTTGACTTCAAAGGCAAATTTGGCTATAGTACATTATGGCATGTTTGGATAAGAAAAGGCAACACCTGGCAATAAAGCCCAAAAGCAGCTTCTATATTGGCTCCTCTGCCTTTTGAAATGTTAAGCATTTAATTTGACTCTACATAAACTTGCTTACTCCCTGGCTTCAAAAAAGAAAAGAAAAAAATCTACGTCACTGGAGTCGGATCATTTGCTGGTTTGGAGTTTGCAGGTTTTCATTTCAACCAGAGAAAACTTAAAACTAATTCAAGAACCTTCACTTGTGGCTGAAGGTAAATTCATTAGCGACACAGAATCGCCTGCTGCTGTGTGCGGTTTCTCCATCATAACATCAAGACTAATGTAAATAGGTGACTTTCAGTTTTTGCCTTTGTCTCTCTGCCACCTAACCAGTCAATTTTATGAGAACCAATTATGTTTACAGATATAATCTTGAGTATTACTTTTGATTCTGCTTAATAAAAGTCAACGACGGGCTGAAAAGTTTGTCGCTAGAACAGCAACGACTGGGAAACGACCGTTTGAAAATGCAAATATACAAGCTGAGATAAAGAATCAGACACGTAACACTTAGTGGCAGTTTGCTTGGAAAACGAACAATAATTTAAAACAGACCTGTTACGGAAATGATAATTTGCGCTATCAAGTCACGTGATACCATAATATCAAATGTTTAGAAGGACACGATGATATGTAGAGGTAGGAGGGGCAGTGAAAGCAGTAAGGCTGTTCCTACTGACAGCATGAGAGGGCTCTTTTGGACGCTGTGCTATCTAAATCAGTCACAGTAACCTTTTAAGACACAGAAGAAAATACAAAAAAGTTGTGAAACTGAGCAGGGCACAGGCTGGTTACTGGCGGCATCTTCTGCAGGTGTTATGCAGCCTTGGTGTGAAAACAACAGTAGCGCTGAGAATATCTTTTATCCAAACCGTCTTGACCTTGTAACATTCACAGCGCCGAAAAGTGTTCAGGAAACCATAACAATAACAATTTACAGTCACTTATTTCTTCCCGACTTCTAAAGAAAAGTCAAAGTAGGAAACTGACAAGAAAGAGTTCACCGTTCTTCAAGACTGCTGGATTTGAGTATCGTATGGACCGTAGACATTTACAATATAAAACCCTTCAAGCCCGCAGTCTAAATTTACTTTGTTAGGCACAATAAATAGGCCCCTGTGGTATTAAGGTTCAGAGTGACGAATGACCCAGAACAATTCTCATGTCTGAGTGCAGGTTATGCACCAGCATAAATCTCTATTAACCACAAATAATTTATGCTGAATCTAGTAAACATCTAACTGCATCATTTTTAATAGACATTCTTAATGTATTTACAAGAAATCAAAACGCGCGTTTTCATTTTACAGCCTGATTGATCTCTAGCGCAGATCTGTCCACTTAGCACGGTTGAAAAGAGTCTGATCCAGTTTTCTCTGTGGGGCTCATTTCTGCTGCCTCGATTTTTGCTTCCATTCTGTAAACACTATTTACAATTGTGAAAAATACATGACAAGAAATGATTTCACAAACTGTATGATTACAATATCTACATTCAAGAAGTACGTTTTTATGTAACATCACTCAAGGATCCGTTGAGAAAGATCTCTCTTTTTTTTTCTTGTTTTAAATCATGTCTGTCAACATAACCCATTCGCCAGATTACCTTCTTTGATTTCTCCGCAGCAGTAATCGATCACCATTACAAAAATCTTGATTGATGTGACACAGTAAACAGCTTGGTGTGAGTTTAAGTTCTTAAACAGACTGCTCTGCTGCTGCTTCTGCAGATGACCATGATGAGATGGTACTGTAGTTGGCAGTATTGTCTGCAAAGATTACAACTACTGTATAGTAAACCAGAGACGTGTGTTTCAGTTTGGCTCATATGTTAAGGCAAAACGTTTGGCACTTAGTTTGCACTGACTTATTTCAGAAAATAATCCTGACGTCACCTTCAAGAACTCTGGTGGTCATTTGTCCTCAGCAGATCAGGACCGGTCAAGTCTGCTGCAGTGATCTGAGAAGTATTTTTTGAAACAGAAATGATGGTGGAACAGTGACTGCAGGTTATGTCCAGATGAGGAATGTATCTTCAGATACATTTTTAGTCCGATGTCAGTTCTGATTGTGACCATGTCAGCAACGGGAATTTAAGTAGAAAGAACTTTTTTGTGAATCACAGTCTCTAACCTGATACCCAGCTATGCGTGGTGGTCTTCACCCCATGTGGGAAACCTTGTTGGGTCACCACTGGCTCAAAGTTGAAGTCCAATGAGTCCCCGTCCATTAGAGTGTCATGGAGGACTGTCTCCATGTCAAACTCAAACTTCTCAATGGACATGTCATCCAGGTCACTGGGCAGTTTTTCTTGATGCGAGGGTGCTGACAATCCTGGTCGACCATATCTGTTGGTGTTAAGAGGACAGAAGCCGCCGGGCATGCCTCCCCCGCCGAGGTGGGCAGAGAGGTCATAAGGCATCTGCATCTGGCTTTTGGCTGTCGGTAAACGTGCGGCGCCCCCGCTGTAGTTCAAGGTCATGAGCAAACGGCCATTCATAGCCGATGATGTGGCTGAGGCTGGGCTGTGCACATTGTGGGGATGAGTGTGAGGGAGACCATGTGGATGACTGCTTCCTCCTCCCATGAGTTTGGCCGCATGCTGGCTGCTGTTGTATGGTGGCAGCATACAGCCTCCGCTGGACTGAGACACAACAGTGTCCACTGATGGCATTAGCTCTCCGTGCTGGTCCGTATCGGATGTCAACAGTTCCTTCAGAAGCCCTGCGGTGCTGCAGTACTGGCTCATACTGGGCCCGAAGCTGGATTTATTCTCTGACAGTGTCTGCAGTGGCATAGATGACAGGCTGTTCATTCCTGCTTGGCCATACACACACTTGTGGTATTCCTGCTGAGACTGGGAAGCCATGCTGGGCGAGCTGTAAGAGGGGTACCCAGGGCTCGGCTGCATCATTGGAGAAGGGGAGGACTGGGAGGAGCCAGGGGTTGTCGCCCCTCCTCCAACCTGAGAGTTATTTGGAGAGAGCAAGTTCAGGTTGTCCAGGAGGTTCTCCATGACATTCTCAGAACTGTGTCCCAGAGAGCCTGTCATCTCTGTGAGACTGGGCAGCGTGCCTGTCATCTTGGCCCCGGGGGCTCCGGGGTAGCCCATATGCACGTCTGCCTCTCCAAGGTCATCCTCAGGCACAAAGGGCGAGAGGCGACCGCTAAGAGTGCTGGCGTTGGAGCTGGTCCGAGGCCTGAAGCTGTTCCATGCATCATAGTCATCATTGCTGTGGGAGTTGGGGCTGCCAGGCCACTTGGAGTAGGAGCCTGGGCTGTCTGCACCTCCATCAGGGCCGCCCTGCAGGGACAGCTGAGGGGAGACAGGAAGACTGTCAGTGAACCAGTAATATTATGCATGCCAGAGACGTCAGTTTAAGTTTGTAAGTGAGGCAGAAACCATTGAACACAGGGCTGACTATTACTAAGCTGTCAGTGTCCATATATTGTAATATAAGAACAAAGTTAAAGACATGAAGAATGTGACTTTACTTTTCAATCAATAGCATATTTTTCATGTTAATCAGCTTCAATTAACCTTTATTTAAACTATGGCAGATTAACACATTATCTCAAGGTACTGTACACATTGCATACACAGTGAGTAAACAAGTATTGAAAAAAAATCAATAAAATCAATATGTAAATCAATAAAGAATTCTTTCTGACCTCGCAAGCATGAGTTACCTTTTTCTTTGCTGCTCTTCCTCTGCTCTTGGTGAACTTGCTGTTGTTGTCCATGGAGGCTGCCCTGCGTCGCGGGGACTTGCCGCTCTTCCCGCCCTCCGGGTTTAGCATCCACCATGAGCTCTTGCCCGTCCCCTCATTCTGCACTCGAATAAAGCGGCTGTGGAGGGACAGGTTGTGTCTAATGGAGTTCTGGAGCAGAGGGAGAAAGAGAAAAGCTGGGTGAGCAGCGGACAAACAGAGGGTTTTAAGCATGCCCTTTACCGACAACACCTCAGATCTGATTCATCATACAAGTGCAAATCCATCTGTACAGGTGGTCCTTTGTAAAAACACGCTCAGCTTTACAGCCGACTTACAAGGAGAAAGCGGAGATTTTAATGTCACTCAACAATCTAATGCCGCTCGCTATTCAAAAAACACATGTGCACAAGCAAACAGACAATAGATGTCAGTAAGTTTACTCCATGAGCAATATCCTAAACAGAGCGGGGATTAAACTGCAGACACTCTTTTCTCCAAATTCACTGTAGGTGCGGGCTTTCCCTCACAAAAACAGAAGGGCCTATTGTAAAACGCTATTATACCACATTCCTCCTAACTATGTGTCTTGTTTAAACCAGTTCAAAATCAAAGGGAGGAAATAGACTAATCTTTCCTCCTTACAGACACACTTATGCTGCGCTCTAACGTTGCTTAGTGACACCACCAGTGGAAAAACTAATTTTTGTGCAGGAAGCTAGTGAAGCGTTGTTAAAACAGAGCAAACAAAAGAGCGAGAATATTGAACAAATGTCTGCTAAGCACAGCGCAGAGAGTAAGACAGCACGTCGCCCCTGCTTTATTGGAAGTTGGAAGTGCACTGGGACGCTTGGCTCTTCAACATCACAGAGTTAATTTGCTGTTCAGCCCGTAATGATTTTAAAACTCTACATCAGCCTAAGCTGTCACTGAAGTGACCATTTAACCTCAGATGATAATTTATAGTCTCTAGGCTCTGCATCATTTTTTGTCCAGGTCTTAACATGAAGTAATGAGCCTTGTCCAGACATTACTGTGCATGCGTAAAGCTTGTTGTTTTGGAAGAAAAGCTAAAACTCCCGGCACACACACACGGCTTAGCATGCATGGTGTCTAACGTCATCAAGGCTGTTCCTGCTGTGAGTCACCGCTTCACATCTGGTTCACAGTCTGCCCCATGCTCTGCCTTCACCTCCGCTTCTCCTCATTTCTACCATCCCTTTGGAATCTGGACACTAAAATCTACAACCAGTATAATCTATTACACAGTTTTTATTGCTAGTGATTTTTATTTCTTTAAAGTAAGAGATACAGGACTTTCTCAGCATTGAAATTTATCTGTTGGAGAAATACTGAAAAAGTGCACATGTGATTTCATAGCATTTAGTTTACAATGATATGAAACAAACAAACAAACAAACAAATGACTGCTTTTCTGTAATTAAAGGCAAACTGCACTACAGATCTGACTGGTAACCCTTGGAGGAACTCGGGGTCTAAATTAAGTTCTGGCTAATATTTTAAAAGTATTCCAGTTATTAAAGATCTCTGGGGTGATGACTGCAGGACTAAATATTGATACAGTCTAGAGGATTTGCAGTATTTTTAGGCAGTCAACCTCAGTCTTCTCATTGTCAATCTACACAGTTGCTTATTTTAGGTTTATCATTTCATGCATTTTCATCTGCTTTGCTACTATTACTGGTTTCTTTCAGCAGACTATCACTATCAATGATCCCTGTTGCAAAGCAGCATGTAGTACCTGCTTACTATTGTTTCAGTGGTACCTGTCCTTTGCTTTCTACAGCCTCAGCATCACCTATTGGATTGCAATTGAGCATAGTCACATGTAAAAATGATGTGTAAGCATGTGACACTTTTTCAAGTGTCAGCCGGCTAATTTGACCAATTTTCATGTATATTTAGACAGTGCAGGAAACACACAATAGTCTTTATCTGTTTTTAAAAGGTTCAAAGACTAAAGGTTTGTGGTCATTTTGGCGAAAGCTGAGATGCTTGCAAGACTGAAACAAAAAGAATGATCAAACGCTGAGATGGTAATATGGGTCAACCTCTGAAGCCCAGACTGAGTTCATCCTCATGAAATTGCAAAGTTATAATTTGATTATTTTCTCAAACCGTTAGAGCCATAAAATACATTAGTCACAGGACAAGTATGATTCCCCCATCACAGCTGGACTCACTTCTGTATCTCATTGTACAACTGTATAGTGACAATAAAGGCATTCTATTCTATCCTATTCTATTCATTATGAAGTGATTCTTTTTTAAATAACATAAATGTTGCTGGATATGTTAATTGGAAAACAGATACTTTCAGAAAAAACACGCCATATTTTATTTCCCTGTCCTTTATTTTCCTTCAACATCTTCTGTTCCGTGTCGTACTTTTCCCTCTTTCCCCTCCTCACTGGAGGACTTGAGCCTGTTGGGCACATGAGGGCCTGCATGAACACTGGTGCTTCACAATAAATGTAATTACCTCTGAATCAAATGACCCAACTGCTTCAGCCAATAGTTGTGGTTTAGTTTGCACGATCTGAGGTACGTGACAGCCCTTCCGTGATTCTCCAATAAATGCTTTTCTCCCCCTCCTCCCCCTCCTGCACATCGGTAGCTATGACAAAACTCAAGGAGTAAAGTCTGGTCATGAGCCTCTCTTTCCCATGACTGCGACGAGTGCTGCTGATTTCAGCTCTGCCGGGACAAGGAATGAACGCAATGTGTGCATCGACGCCGGCATGTCCTGTTGCAGCCCTATATCATCCCGGTGACAGAAAGTAGAAAGTCACAGCTAAAGTCTCTTACTTTAGTGACCCAGGTTTCTGCTTTGTCAAATGTCACGGTTAGAACGCGGGGTGTAATAATCCAAAACAATTTAAAACCCAGTTTAAAAATATTGATGCAAGGCAGGGAGTACCAGCAAAGGGTCATAAAAGCTGCTCTGATGGGAAATGCCAGAACTCGGCAGAACTTGGTGTGCCGTGTGGGGAGTGTGGCTGAGTGCGTCTGGTGGGGCCAGTGGAAAAGCCTCGTCTCACACTGTGTTTGTGTGTGCGCGCGAGTGTGTGTGCGAGAGAGTGCCAGCTCATGTTTTTAGTGGAATGGCAGTAGGACAAACAGCAGCACAGTATGGTTTTGATTTTGTAGCTCACTCCGCTGCAACCAGTGATATATTGGTTTTAAACACACGCTATTGGGAACAAACAGACACGCACACAGTGATCCACTAAGACAGAAATGCAGATGTACAAATGGAAATCCCTTTGCTCTCATAATTATGAAGCCTTTCTTCTTTAAGACCAGGCAAGTATTATTTCTTTCCTGTTAATATCTTTTTAATTAAAAGTATGCGTGTTTTTTTTAGGTGTGTGTGTCCATGTGTGTGTGTAGGGGAGGGGTGGCTGTGGGGTCCTCTGACTGAATGCGACACTGGTTTATCTCTGGCTGCAGTACACAGGAATCTAAACATTCCAGCTAATCACTGTGTGCAAAGTTCAATTGTAATCACAGCCAACTTGTTAGTATCTCTTAGGAAACAGTAAAGGCAGGATTCCCAGCCAGGCAGCCATCACAATCAACATTCCTCAGCAAGGTTACAAAACCCATAATTTCGCAGAAGTGAACTCTTGATTACTGTCGCTGGAGGACGGTCCTATCTTATGTTGCATGAAAATTTGACAATAACACTTTGTCATTTCAAAAGCAGAACATTCCGTTTCTTGCCACACACACACAAAAAACCCACCATCTGCACTTACAATGCTAACACATTAACATGTGCTTGAAATTAATATACAGTTAACGAGAGCAGAAATCTTCTTTGCAGTGAGTAATCATAATAAATGTTGACTGAAATACACATGCGCGCACACACTGTAGCCTTCTCTCCGTTGTTCCCGAGCTCGCCGTGAGGAGCACCACCTCCATTCACGGTCAACACAGCACAGCCGTACTGGCAAAACACAAGGAAGTGACCACATGAAAGAGGACTGTGACAGGAAGCAGAGCTGACTTCCTGTCTCACAGGAAACATGGCGGTCAGTAAGCAGAGAAAAAGGCATGGAATGTGAAGTCGTGAGCCAAGTGGACACCGCAAAAATCGCCTCCCCGAAACCCGCTGCCAAAAGAGTTTATGTTTGACAACAGGCGATAATCCCTGATGTCTGATGTCACACCACAGTCATTAAACGAAAGCAAAGTTCACGTTGTCGTGTGACTGCTGAAACTGAATTACATGACTGAATACGTCACGACTCGGCAGGAGGCTGCAGCGTGGCTGTCTGGGCGGTTTGAGTCCAGGAGAATGTGTTTTGAATGTAGGCTGTTGAGAAATGCAGAAAGAGGAGCTGTGTGACAGAGTGGGCTTGGATCAGTAAAGAACAAACTGTGCTGATTTAAAAACTCCTTCTCTGGCAGCACTACTGAAAGGCCACACTGTTCGGTACATCACCCTCCCTTTGCTTCTGTCCTCAATGTCCTCTTCCTCTCGCCTTGTCTACTCTTTCCTACTCCTTTCATCTCTTCTTTTCCAGTATTCTCTCTCCTCTTTATCTTGTTTCCATTTCTGCTCTTTTGTTGCCTACCTATCCTATTCTCAGCCTGCTTGCTTACCTCTCCTTCTACTTGCAAACTGCAGCCAAATACCTGCAAAAATCTAGACACGGTGCCACACAGGTGTTTCCGATTGACCAATGTGCTGGAAGCTCTCCGAGTCGTTCAAATGTCAACTTGTCTAATGAAAAAATCCCCAGAAGAGCGCAACACCACCTACATGCAGTGCTGCTTTGAATAATGTAAACCCGCAAGTGAAACCTCAGCTGCAAAGGCCATATAGCTACACGTATAAAGTGCAACATTGCTCCCACCTCACTGACTGAAAGCGTGCAGCATCTATGATCTCACACGCCAGCAGCTATAGCTTCACACACATTTACCAGAGATACGGAACACATGAAAGTGAAAATGTGGTTTCCATGCACTATTTCCACTGAACTCATTAGAGAAACGGTGCTGTCCTTACCGTGCATTTTCACCTTTTGTTACGCAATTTTCAGCCTTAAGAGGAGCTCTTCACTGTAACTATCTATTGTATGTGTAATGTCTGCACCTGTGCGTGAGACAACAACCTATAGAGTATGCGCACAATT